GATTATCCGACCCCCGATTAACCGACACCTCGGTTAACCGACCGTCCTAGTCGGCAAATTTCAAATGTCCGCTAGTGATGTGGCGCTACAATATTTGGCTATGTCTTGGCTACTTTAATATTATTTTTACGTGTTTTAGCTGGCAACACTCATTCGACCATGAAAGGGAGCCAGTATTTAAACGAGGCTTAATTTTCTAATTTTTAACGGTACAATAGCGACGATTATTATTAAAAAAAATTTTTGTTAGGCTTAACATCGATGAAAATTCAACGCAAAGTAGCGATATATTATATACTAAGGTTTATAGCGATATACTAATATACTAAAATACTAATTACATGGGATATAATAATATACTACATTAATAATGGATTTTTTTCATACTTTTCGGTTATCCGCCCTTTCATTTATCCGACCTACCCCAGTCCTCAATTAGGTCAGATAATCGAGGCTCTACTGTATAAAATATATAAGTAACAAACTATTGTGTTAGAATGCAAAAATGCTTAAAGTATTGCATCCTAATCACCAAACAAATTAAGAACAATATTAAATTCCCAGCTGTTATACAGAGGGAAAGTATGGCAATCCAGCAAAAAATGATTCCCCCGGATTTTTACATTTTTGGACTTAGGACATCTTGAAATATCAAGAAATGCAAAAAAATTTGGGAGTAATTTCTGTATGTATTGATGTTAGTGTGTGTGTGTGGCACAATTTTGTTCACCCTCTTTGAAGCTTAATAACTCCTATGCTTTTTGTCGAGAATTTATGAAATTTTGCAGGGAGGTTTGCTTATTAGGGGACAGGGTTTAAGCTGGGAAAAAATTTTCTGTAGCATTTTAGCTAATTTCACTAAAAAGTTGTAGCAGAATTTTAGAAACTAGCTAACATTTCTCATCCGTAAGGCTGTACAGAACAATACACAATACATTTTGTTACAACCCACAAGTATCATACATTATTGAACAATTTTTCTTGATTTTGATTCACACTAGGCAACAAATGCTGAACAAAAATCAAATTCCCATCTTGGGAGTCATTTATGGAGATGTTTAAAATAGACTACTTAAGACAGAAGTTAGGTTATTAGTCTCAGTGGGCCACATATGTTTAATGAAAAAGTCTGCTATTGCAATTTAGTTGTCTAAATTGATGCATGTATTTTTAATATTTATTATGTTTACTTATAATGATAAAATCCTTGAACAACACCTTAAATACTTTTTCAGCATCACTTTAATTTGTTTAAACAGATGGCTAGATGGCTGAGAACTCAAGGTGGCATCCTACTGCCATCTTGACCACTACTGGGAAACTTGGGATCAAATCTAGATGGGTCGAAAAATCCCCAGGAATTCTTTGGGGGGGGTTGTCCGGATATGATGGACCTGTCCCTAATCACCCAGCTAAAATGGGCTTGCTAAAAGAGGCTCTCTTAGTGCCCACTGGGCAGAAAGAGTTAAAACAACAACAAAAAAATTGTTTAAACAAATGTTCTTGACTCCTTTGCACTGGTCTGCATCAGGTTTAACAAGAAGATTCACACTGTTTAAGAAGACAGTTCAAATCTTTTTATTAAACCTGAAGTAGACCTGTAAAAAGAGTTGAAAGCATTTTTTTTATAGAAATGAAAGTGTTGCCGAAAAAAGTATTTAAGATGTTGTTCAAGCTAAATTAGTTTCAGCCTATACAGAAGTGCTTTTTTTAATGATGAAACAACTTTCTCATTGTAACTTAACCATTAGTTTTTATGATTCACAAATGATGCTGTAATACATTAAATTTTCAAATGCATTTTGCATGATTCTCACTAAAAATAATTGTGCTAAATTTACTCCATTTTGAGTTTTAAAAATTGATTTTCTCTTTAATGAATTTAAAGGTTTTCTGTCTTGTTGGAATACTATTTACTAATGTTGATGGGAATTTTATACATTTTATATTTTGTGTGATTCGTACAAGTTCAAATTGAATAAATCTATACAGAGATATATATAGTTTTTTCTAAATTTATGATCTTGACCATTGATGTTGTATTCATATACTAACCACATTCCAAAAGTTTCAGTTGCCAGATGATGTGAGGAGCAAGACACAAGATAACTGAATCAAATCATCTATAAAAATTTATGGGGAATCGACTCAAATTTGATCTCCCATGGCTGTATTCCTCAACAAAGAGTCGAGAGTCAAAGTTTAAGTTAACCAATAGGAACTTGTTTACTTAAAATAAACTGAATGCCAATTGATTGACTTTGACTTCAACTCTGCAAATACAGCCATTATAGAAGGAGATTGATATCTTTACTACTTCAGTCATCCAGCCATCACGATTTGTCTATTATGTCATCAAGAATATATGTATATTTTAAAATTAATTCAATGGCTTTAAAAAATAAATAATCTGTCACTTTCATTAGATTTCTCCTGAAGATGAGACATCTATTCCCGGAACGGTTACTTGCGCTACTCAAACTTATAGTAACAAGGGAAGGAAACGGAAAAGCGAAATGGCAATCACCGAAGATACGACTTTCAAAGATAAGAAATATCAATTCGTATCCAGAAATATTTCTCAGTCAGCATCTAGAAAATATAACCTCAGAAGAACCAGAAAAGCATTAGTTTTAAGTGATGTAAGTATAACTAAATCTTTTAATAAAAATTTAATTACAATAAAAGTCCATGGTGAAAATTTACTTAAAAATATTCATAATTTAGACATAATTTATTCATAATTAAAGTTAGACGTAAATAATAATTTGGTGTCATTTTAAATAATCTTTCTCGTATAGAAATATAGTTAAACAATAGAGGAACTGATCTTTATTATTTGTATGGCTCTTCTCTATATTAAAACTATATAAAATTGCTTTTAAAAATCTCTCTAGCATCAGGGTATTATAAAATTGTGCTTGATGCTAGAAGTGTTTTTAAAAACAATTTTATGTAGTTTTACATAGGGAAGAACCTATAACATCAACTCATATAGTCCCTGAAGGACTTGCTGAGAAGATGCCAAATTATTTTTGTTTTTCTTCAAATTACACACATTTTTAAGAAAATTTAATTATTTAAAGTTCATTTTTACTAAATTAAAATTGATATTTTTATATTTTGAATGTAATAATAATTAAGTAATTATTCAAAGGTTAAACATATTTAATTAAAATTTTTGAGGATTATATATAAAATTTATAAGTTTAACAAATTAATAAATTAGGATGAAACTGGTGATAAAGACTTATCAGAATATGATGACGACGACGATGACGATGATGATGATGATGAATATGATGATGATGATGACGACGATGATTATAAGTATTCGGAATCTGAATATGTTCAAGAAGCTGATTCTCAAATTTCTTCTGCAGTTTATAATAGTAAAACAAAATATTTTTATTTATGTATTTTTTTTTATTAACCCTTTAAATTTTAAAATAGCATTTATAATTTATTTAGTTATTTTTAATTCCATCATTAGAAGAGTTTTATAAATGGAAACGTAGATTTAATATTGTAGTGTTATTCAATAATTAGAATATAATGACACACCAAAGAATTAAGTATTAATCATTAAAAATTGTCTCATAATGTTATCAAGTTTAACAAATTTACAAGATTTTAAGTTATTTTTTTGTAAATATTTTGTACTTGATGACCCTGTAAGAGTTTTTATTTATACTCTATAATTAATTGCCCATTGTTACAGAACATAAAAAATTTTTATTTTAAGAATATGAATGCAAAATGCACATCATGGCAGACCAAATACCATCTTTGCACAAGTCATTCCACAGTGGCTTACAGCCTGAATTAGAATAAGACTTTTAAAATTTTATACAAAGCCAGCGCTTGAAGATACATTTATGAAAGTAAGAAATGGCTCGTCAGGAAGTTCATGATTTATCAGTGGATCTGTACGACATTGGAATTAGCCAACTTATAGTTTATATCTGCCACTTTGTGGCTACTCTATTTCTGAAAGTCAAGGAACTGCTTCGAGGATGGTATTTCCAGGATGGAGACAAGAGAGCTTCTGTCCATAGAGATCATATTGAAAGCAAATTTGAAAGCCAGTGGTATGATTGAAGTAATTTGGGAGGATAAATTGCTGCATAGAATATGGTGGGGAGTAACAGACATGGTGAAAAGCAATTTATGCACATCTAAAAACTTTCAATTCTCACACAAAGAATGAAAATTCGTATTTATATAACAGACATTTTCACTTAATACATGTATATTATTTATTATAATACAGTCGACCCCCTATAAGATAGAGATATGTTCCATTCTCTAGGAATCCGATTTCTTACGAATCCTTCCAATCACAACCCGACACGTGTCAAGTTTACGGACTANATGTCTTGTGTAACTTTCTGGATGCAGTATGCTTTGTATTAAACAATATAATTCTTATTGAATTGATGGAACTATGACATGCTTTGTATTACATATTAACTGAATTCATTAACATTGAAATGCCTATCCTCATCATAGGACTGCAAATATGCTTTGCATTAATATCAACTTTGCACAAATCAATAACATAATAACACGGTATAATTAACAAATACAGTCAAAGACTGTATTTGTTAATTATACCATGTTATTATGTTATTAATTAATGTTATTATGTTATTAACCATGTTATTATGTTATTAATTAATGTTTAAATTAATATCTGTCATAATTAACAAAAACAGTCAAAGACTGTATTTGTTAATTATGACAGATATTAATTTATTTCTGTCAAATTTTTACATTGTATGTATTACATTGAATTAATATTATATACACATACACAAATACACACATATACACAGTGGTGATACTTAGTGGGTTCACACAAGTTCGGCCGAACCCATTGTTAACATTTTCAAAGTTTTCCGAATCCGTTGTTAAACACATGTAACATTTCTCAGTGATTTTGTTTCTTTTAAAACATATATTAAAATATACGTATTATACTCTGTAACACTACTAAACTAGGGCCTTATACCCCGTTCACCTTGGTGCAACCTCCATCGACCATTTCAATCTCAACTGAAATGAGGTTTAATTGCGATCAACTCAAGAGAGTTCTTGAATCTAGGTCCAGTCATACGAGAGATCCCACAATCCCATGCACACGAAAAAATACAAGATGACTGCAGAACACGTGTTGGACTATCGACAGTGAAATAAAAAAGATATTGTATTTTGAGAGACGATGACACCTGTTTATTATTATAATAATACCTAATGATAAAATAAATGATTTAGAAAAGTTTTTTCTTGAGAAAAAGTCATAAGGAAAGCAGTTAAACCTGCTTTTCCTATGACTTTTTCTGATTAAAAAAATGCCAATTTTTATGTTTATAAAATATTTTGAATGAAAAATATTAAAATATGTACAAAATAAATTATTTTGAACACTTTTTTTATTATTTATCAAAAAAATATAGTTCTGGCATAAACAATGTTAAATTTTAACTGATTTAATTTTGCAAACGCATCTTTTTTATTTATATCGATATCTTAACATCAGTTTTTGCACTAATGTTGCTAATGCACCATTTGAGTGAAAAAAAATTGTTAAGGAAAAATTTTCTGTTAGCAAATCCTTTGTTAAATATTTCAAATATCACTATTGCATATACACATACATATACAATGTTAGTTTCCTAGTAATATAAATAATTATAAGTTGATTTAATGTGGCATATTTTCTCTTAAAATGTCTACTATTCCATTTATATATTAATGAAGATTTTTAAGTTTTAATTGCATTTAAAAATTATAGTGGGAAAATTTTATTTAACTTAGATTTTTGATAATATTTTTAAGATAATTATAATGGCGCATACTGTATTCAATAATTCTGTAAAATTTAAATTTGACTTTTAATACTTTTTATTGTTTGTTGTCCATAACGTCGTCTTAGCCTATGCTGCCTTCCCTTATCCTTGGTCAAATGTTTTTTTTTGTGATTTGATACATAAAACTAATATTGTTTATATGAAGCATTATTATAAAATGTAAAATGAAGGAGTGAGTATCTTAATGTGAGAAGCTGGAGTTGGACAGCTAAAGACAATCAAACTTTATTATAAAGTAGAAGCTTCATCAGTAAATCAGTAAAAATGTTATTTTAGAATTTTTACATACAAAAATGGAGCAACTAAAAAAATATTTACATTCAATAATTTTTATTAATTAAAATGAATACTTTTTTAACTTTTGCAGGAAACTACAAATGAAGAAACAAATGTTAATGATATACATATTAAAAATTTGGGTGCAAGAGAATTAGGAATTACAAAAGAACAACAAAAGTGGACATGTTCTCAATGTACTTCAGAATTTTTTGACTGTATAGAATTTGCCAGACATTTACAAAATCATTATAAGCCAACAAGCAATAAAAGAGGTAGGAAAAGAGCAGAAGAAAAATTATTACTGAAAGAAAGACACTTTATGAAAAGAAAAACAATCATTAAAAATTCAAAACCTAATGAAAAACATGAAAATGAAAATGAAACATCAGAAAATAATGAGAAAGAAACTGTTAACAATATGGAAAATAATACTCCAAAGGATAATTTAGAAAATGAAACGAATGAAATGGAACAGGAATCTGTTCATTCATTACAAGGTGATAGTGGAATTGATGTAGATATGGAGAAAGAATTACCAGAAGTCCAGGTAATTAACCATATTTTTTTATATTATTTTATAATCTTAACCCATTTTTGCTGTGGTAATATTTTAATTTGTTTTCACTTAGCATTCAAATCTTTCAGTTAATCTTCAGAGAGATCATTTTTATTCTAAATATTTCAAATTTAATTTTTTATTTAACATTTATTTATTATTATTATTATTTTTAATTCTTTAATCTTAATTTTATATTTTGATTTTAAATTTTAATTTTGTTTGTTTATCTCATGTATTCTTGTTTTATTCATCTGCAACATTTCTTTATTCTTGATAACAGACAAATAAAAAAGAATGTGCAAGATAAGCAAACAAAAAGAAAATTTAAGTTTGAAATATGGAATTAAGATAAAGAAATTTGAAATATTAAAAGTAGAAACAATTGCTCTGAAGATGAATTGTGAGACTTAATGTTAAGCAAAGAGATTTTTAATATAAAAAATACTGTCTAAACAGAAGTAAATCAAAAATAGAATAGTTGGTGTAATAACTACAACAATTATTCTATTCTTTAGAGCAGTGGTCAGCAACTGGTGGTCTGTGGAGAAATTTGGACATTGATCAACTGAAGGTTACGCAAAGTATTACGAAAGAAATGCAAAATGCTTAGTTCTTTTTTCACTAATTGGGGGTTTTTATTCAAATCTAAAACCAAATACAAAGTGACCATTATCAATAAGTAATAAAAAATAAACAATATTGTAAGTGCGATTGTCGTCCTTTGTGGAAAAGCACTAAGAATCCATAAACTTATTTCAAACAAGCAGCAATGAACTTTAGGCTTGCATTAATTTGTTATAATTAAACATGTAAGTTTCATATTAATATAGTAAAACTGAACTTTTATGATCATTATTCTGCAGATTTTGTATCATTTAAAAAATTCATGATAGTAGTCCGCAGGATCCAAAATTGTGAGTTTAGTGGTCCGTGAGGTCAGAAAGGTTGCCAACCACTGCTTTAGAGAAATGAAAAAATAAATATATATATATATATATATTTTTTCA